TATACGTATATTGTATATCATATACATATATTGTATTTTATCATATACGATATTATATGTGAATTTATCAACATAATATTTTATATTTATTATCATAATTTTATTAATAGAATAAAATGCTCCATATTTGATATCAATCGACATAATTGTTAAGCCCCAACATATTTTTACACAAATACTAACCGCAAAAAAATTGTACTAAGAAATTTTATTCACAAACAAGAGAAATGGATACGATTTAAATAATGATTCATTCTATGAAATTAAAAGTTGTTTTTTATTTAGAAAATATATTGCAGTGACGAATGAGTCAATCAGTTACAAGATTACAGCTGCATATAATTGTTTCATCTAAACACAGTTGGGCTAATCTCTAATGATATAACTTACATACGTCAAAAAACAAAAATTGCTATCGAATTGAGGCAAACAGATCTTCTAGTAGAAGAAAGCAGCTTTACAATGACAAATGTTATTTTCTTATCATTGACAATAAACATTAATAAAACAATTATTTTAATTTATTTCAATGCACTTAATTTTATTCAAATGGTACTCCACAATTCGTGTTTTTATATCGTAAGAGCTAAACTTTTGTAGGGTCTGTTCTGGTGACAGACATTTCATTTAAAACAAGTGCTTCTTCTGTGCTTTGTTAAGACTGGATAGTCACAAAGATCACACAAAGATTTCCTCATCTTCGAGACATAATCTGCATTTCGAATTAGCAAATAATCGTAGTTTATGAAGGTGATATTTCAGACCAAAATAATTATATTCAGGTCTTTGTGAATATCGTCGTTTCTGATGTACCATCTAGCATCTACTATCGTTCGCAGGATTTTTGATTGGAGCCTTTGAATAGTATTTATATAAGTCTTACAGGTGGTTCCCCATATTTCAATTACGTATTTCCAGATCGGAACAATTATAGTTTTGTAAATTAGTAGTTTGTTATCTATTGACAGACTGGAATTTTTACCAAGAAGCCAATATAGATCTGCAAATCTTCGATGAGCTTCCTTTTTCTTCTGAATTATGTGCTCCTTCCAAGTCAGCTTTAGGTCTAATAGCATGCCCAAGTATTTGGCTTTCTTGCAGATTGGTATATCAATGTTAACAATTTTCAGTTTCTGTTCTTCAAATTTCCTGTTGGTGAAAATAACTTGGACAGTTTTTTAGATGTTTATCTACAACATACAACATATAGTATTGTAACATTTTGATAACCTTTCAACAATCCAGATTAGAGTGACAGACCATGGATCACAGTTAAATTTCATAGTTGAAAAACAGTTTTGAAAACGACAACTTTGTTTTCTAATCTCATTTTAGGCATATTTACCATCAATGTGGGTTATCTTAATTCAACTTTGCTTCCTTAATATATGTTTGCTTGCTATCTAAATATAATTAACGTTTGATTTTTGTCATATCTTTTTTCCATATATTATATTAGCATTAGTATCTGTCTACATGTATGCTTTAACCCTTTAATGTTACTTGTTTTCATTTACCTAATTTAATTTTATTTTCCATTTTAAAAGCCGCCTTTCTATTTTATTTTGGTGTTTTTGCAGACCTTCAGATGATCAGAAACTGCCAATGATAAAATTAAACAAATATACCAGCCTTCAGAAATGAATGGAAAAATTAGAACGAATAAGTGATATATGTGTCAAGGTTTAGTTTCATCAAAAGGGTGAGGACTGTTTTACTAGGTCAAGGAGAGTGGCCTGCTAGAAGGATAATTCTGCGACAGATTCTACGTAAACTCTCTATGAATGCCTAATAGCTCCTGCCGTAAGATGTTTCCTTTCTAAACTTAATATAATAATTTTAATAAATATTTTTTAAATATATGAGCTTGAGATTAGCTCATATAGGGAGCCTGCGTGGAGTCCATTACAGATTCAAACTTCTTACATTGCTTATACTCTTTCTTCGATCTTCTCTTATATAAAATTTATTTTAGATATTATCTATACTATTTTGGAATTATTTATAATTTTTTTATTGTTAAATAAGTAAAAAATTTTGATAAATTATTTTACTAAATCAAATGAGTTCTTTAAATTAAATAAAATCTTCATTTTCATTACTGTTCGCCATAAATAGACATACACTTCTTTGACGTAGCAACCAGATGAAGTACACATAATTGACATTTTGACCAGACAGACACTTTCGTTAATGAAAATTGAGGCAACTTCTACCCATGTGTCATGCCTGCGAATTTATTCATTTCTGGGAATTTTTAATATAATCTTAAGAATTTCTAATTGAATCAATAAAATGTGTTTAAAATGCATGTAAATTAATATTTTCCAAAACAATATTCAGTTATTAAGTGAAGAGGTTATTGCAGACACTAAACAAAATCAATTGATTTAACGGAAATTAGTCAATTTTTTATTTGAAAAATATTTTATAAAAAAAATTAAATTATTAATTAGGTCATATTTAAAATAAAATCATTGTGTTCTGCAAAAATCTTATACGGAAAAATTTCAACCTTTTGCTATTTCCTAAACTACTTGAACTACATGGAATACTTATATATATATATATATATATATATATATATATGTATAAGTATATGGTATTAATGCCATAGATACTACAATTAATTATTATAACTTTGTTACTCACAATGAATATAGATAATATTGTTTACTTAAACATATATTTTTTATTTTCAAAGTTATTGAAAGATTTCGAACAGTAGTGAATTGCAACAACAAAAATTTTCATTTATTAATAATTAATTATATTTTTGGGTGACCCTACAGTTGTTTCGAGTATTGCCAAATACCTATCATCAGTTTTTTAGCAATTATTTTTTATATTTATTTATTCATACATAATTTTTTGACAATTATAAGTTACTATTTAAATTTAAGAATTTTATGATAAAGTTTTTATGGCTCAAAGCTGTCCTCAGAAAAATTTTTCTTTAATAGCCTATTATCATTTAATGTTTGAAAACAGACACCATCATTTCCATGGTTCGATTTCTCTCATTTCTGATTAAAAACAAAACACTTGGCGTTGGAAAAAATTGTGAGCAATCAAGTTGCATATACTTACTTACTTACTTAGTTGACCATTATATATGTAAATTATCTTTAAACGCGTCCAGTAGCTTCTACCAGGCCGATCAGTGACTTATTGTCGCCAGTTTGTAGTACCAAGAGCTCTCAAATCGTTGGTCACCTGGTCCTTCCACTAAAGATGCGAATGTCCTCTACTCTGTTTTCCACCTGCGAGTACTGAATCAAACACCTTTCTAACCAGAGCACTTTCTTTTATTCTCTAGAATGCTCCTAACGCATTCTCATTGCTGTTGGTAATTGTCCAAGCTTCTGTACCATACAGCAACCCAGACATGATAACAGACTTGTAGAACGTGATTTTCGTTTGTCGAGAGAGGGCTTCATTTCTCATTTGCCTACTTATCCCGAAGTAACATCTGTTGAAATGAAAGTGATTTCTCGTTGAATCTCTAGGCTGCCTTGTTTATGGTATTTTTGATGTTTACTCTGGTTCTCAAATAAACAAGGTGTGAAAGACTTCGAACTTACAAGTTACATATAAGCAGGTATAAATAGCATGATAAAATGATAACTTATAGTTATCACCCAATATTAGGAATTAAAATCGTCATAATCAAAAATATATATCCATAATATGATTCATCAGAATCGGGGTAATCGGTTTAAATATTTATATTTAGTATAAACTAATTTTTAGGGGGTTTCAAATAGGAAAGAAGGAAGGACATTGTTTCTACGTTACATAGTTGTCACTTACTTGCTATTTTAATAGCTCATGTAATACATTCTTCAAGCATAAATTTTATTCCTTTTAAAAATGGGATAATATATGTAATGATAATTTATCACTTATGTATTAGGCCGCATGCTCCTCAAGGAGATAAAGGAACTAACAATAAGCTATTATGTACAAAAAACAATCACAAAATATTTTCTCACTTCATATTAAGCAATCGTAAAGTATTTCAATACGATTTTACAAGTTTTTGCTTTTTTCTATGCAGGTATGACAATTCTTAAAACATCTCAAACGCAGCAAACATACAACCCACAATACTGATCATTTATACTCCATGCTGACCTAATTAACACCAATATGTGTCCTGTGACCAATGATTCCTTACGAGAACTCACTTATTCCTCATATACAAAACTGGATTTCTGACAACCTGCATCGAAAGTGGTTTGATCGATATTTGCCTCACACCCTTAACGCACTCAACCGAATGTTTGGCTCTTTAGTGCACTTGTCGAATTATGCCTTGCGGCGAAAAACATACTCACTTGGCTTGTTCCGTACCTGTCAGGCAACTGTTAAAGGATTTCCTCCGAAACCGACAAGTGCCAAGCGCCTGTCATAAATGCGCAACCAATAATTTAATGCAAACCGGTGCACTCGTTGAAGGGTTAAAATCGTAAATCAAATTTCTTGATTTACTGTTGAAAAGTGCATCAATGAAAAGGTGCAGTTTATATACAAGCAAGGGACAATGTGAAGTCCTTATGCATAATGAGGGTACAAATTTCAATAAAGCGAAAAATGTTTTTATGACGCATAAAAACTGTTATTTACCCTTTCAAAAAAAAAAAAATTATACAAGGATGGTATTGACTATGAAACAGTGAATCTTTCACTTAAAAGTGAATAAAAGTGAATTTCTTTTATTTCGATTGACGCCAGTTTAATGTATTTTCGCTTGAAGACTTTTACTTGTTGGCACAATTTAAAAGTATCAAAATCTCAGCTCTTGAAATTTTTTTGTCTCATATTTAGATATTTTTTATTTATTAGCACAAAATTAAATCTTAGCTCAGTAAATGAAGGCGTTGACGCTTTTGTTTATTTGTCTCAATTTCGATTGATTTACGAGGTGACACAATTACCCAAAAGTATCTCATGTAAAAGTAAAAACTCACAATCAATCATTTTTATTGTACGGCAAATTAAAAAGCGGTTTCCTTCCCACTACCAAACCAAGTAATTACAATTTGAATCTCTTCAACAATGCCAAAACCAACGGATTTGCGTTTAACATTACCGCTATAAACTAAAGTATCTGAAATAAAAAATAAATTAAAAAAAGCGGAAAGTATCTAAAAACTTTTAATTATTTGCAATAGAAACGTGTTTTTGGTTAAAAAAAATAGCCCACGAAAGTTTGAAACTATTTTGCATAGCTTTTACCACTGTACAACGAAAGTGATTGAAATGAGCATTTACTTTACCGAGCCGCAATACCGACTACAAAAACACGCTACATAAATGACAATGAAGTAATTGGTTAAGAATTTTTATATTAATTTATTTGGTATTAAAGAACATTTTTCTTCTTCTTTTAAATTTAATCTGATCAGTCCATATGGACATTACAATATGTTAACGTGGAGATATAATCACCGACTTCAAAGCGGTTTAATCCAGGTCTTAGATAAACCATAGATGGACCAACAGATTATGACCGATTGATCTAAATGTATTACGATCATTGACGACATTTTCGAAAAATTGAGCAAAATGATCAATGGAGTGCTCCGTTTTGCTGAGCGTCCGAATTCGAATAAAAATGTGAACTCCTGAAAAAGCTGCTCTTTGCTATTTTTATATTTCCTTAGTCTTTCTTTCAAATTTCTTTTCTTAATAAAAAAAATAGTATAATATTAACATTTTTTATATATTATTTATATAGTAATAGTTAAAACTAATATTTAAAATAACCATTTTATAAATCCAAAAATCCAATTTTATAAATCCACTTTGAAATTGCAATTAATTAGTCTCGCGGACAATGTCGGCTGATAATGTATTCGAAAGCAATTTATTCAACTCGGTAGTTATAACTACAACCACTGTCGAAAATATGTCTTAATATTAATAAGATAGCAAGATATTTTTTTCTAAGAGTTAAATATTTCCTTTATATCTTAGACTGCCCAATACGGAAAGATTTCAACATCTATTTGTATGTAGATATCCTCAGATCTTTTAGATGTTCTAAATGAAATCTTGAGGCAACTTGATCAGTTCATTTGGTCAGTTCTTCTGTTTAACAATTGCCTACGATTGCCCTATAACTATACTATCATTCGTCTAAAAATTGAAATTGAACGAAACTTAAGAATAATTAAGTAGCTTAATAATTTATTAATATACAATAAAAAATTATTCATTATATAGTTATGTGACTTTAAGACAAGTTATATCCGACCTAATAGGAATAATAAATAATAATAGACCTAAAAGATCTGAAAAGTCATACAATGATCAGACAATCTACAAGTATGTATTATTAGTTTTATTTTTAATTCATTTTAAATTTGTTGTATTACATAGAAATTAATAACAATTATATTATATATATGAAGCTTACAGCTATGGCATTTTAGCCGACCATCATTCGATCCGCTATGTCCTAGATAAGAGCAACCCTATCGAAACCGCAGGTAGAATATTATCAGTGAGATCATAATCCGACTAACATCACATGACTTTTATGGTATATAGAACGTCAGTACGTCCTACCATGACAATCTATATTTTGATATAAACTGTTCCTTAGAGAAATATCTACTAACTTCTCAATTACTTATTCACGAACCATCAATACATATGTGTTAACCGTCTTTCATTAAAACATCTATCGACAGCTATATTAAGACTCTTTTAATCGATAATTAATATTCTGTCGAAATTAATAGTGGGTATGATTTAATTAATATTTTTTTCACTATAACTGAATCTTTAGTCGCTGTTTTAATTAAGCATTTGAATACATATAAATATATATTTTATTCATTATAGTAAAAATATGGGAACAAAAATTAAAGTAATACACATTTTCTTTACTTTTGATTATAATTTTTTTTCCATTTAACTGGTACTGAGTATATTTTGAAGGTTTCGACTTGGTGATGAGCTAAATTTGTCTCATATTGCTTAACCCGCTTTATGATTTAATCTTTTATTAGCGAAATATCTAAATAGTTATACAAAATTAAGTATATAAAATGCTTAAGCAGTTTAGTCACTAATCTTTACTATCGTTATGAAATCTCTGAATGTTTTCAACATTTTGTTGCCTTTTTACTGCGTCTTAGCTTAGCAAAACTCAGATGGTTTGGTATACGTATATCATTTTTATTGAATAGTCTGTTTTCTTTATATTTTGTTTGATTTGAAGTGAAGACCCCAGTTCATTGCTATTTTTATTTTAAATTTACTTGAATCGTTGCTGTTTCTATATACTTTTGCCTGGAAAATTTTCTGTCTAAAATTCGGTCCAAGTGATTTAGCTTAAGTACGACATTATTTAGAATATATATGTTAACGAGTATAGTAAAACATATTTATATATTATCTTTCAAAACCTTCAAATAATACATGCGCCTATTACTACCTAGTGTAGGGTACATAAAAACAAAACAAATTTTTAAAATTATTAGCATTTAGGAATGACGACAATTACACGAATCAGATTTGTTATTTTATATTTGTTGTCACTGGAATTTTTAATTTAAATTGAATAAAAATTTAAAGTTTGCCATAAAAGAAGCCTTGTCCGCACTAGCTAGACTTTTAGGAAGATTTTTACAGACGTTCACTTTTTCACGAAGACATACAAAACTTTATTCACAGATGAAAATCGAAAATAAAACATATTTGCTATTGAAAAGAAGAAACTTCTCAAAATCCATTCAGTGCAGATTAAAAGTAAAAGTAAACGAGGTTTTCTTTGATGATAGTCCGTGGTTTATAAGAAATTCGGATATCCACACGGATATTATTGTTAAAACATTAAAAAAGAAATTAGGAGTTGAGTTCTGGAGCTGTTAGACGTCTTAAATGGTCAATGAGAAGGCTGATTTAAACTCATTAAAATTTATCATTTGATGATGTCTAATAGTATTTTATTGTAGCTATAGTATTGAGTTTCCTATTAGCTTCTGCCTTTACATGCTTATAAATACTCATAGATCATCAAAGAGAATTGTCTGATTCTGAAAAGAAGAATATGCAAGACATTCTTTGCATTCAATGATCTTCAGTTTATTCTCTAATAGAGAAGATCAGGGACTCATTGAGGATCAGGGAAGATCTTCTGATTTTGAAAAGAAGAATATGCAAGATGTTCTCCGCACAGAATGATCTTCAGATTTTCTCTAATTTTCACAACAACTATTGATATCTTAAAGTCTCGATGAATGTCGAGCTTACTATTGAACAATCACAATGTTTCGAAGAGCTTTATTTTAAATCTATTGGATTATATTGATATTGCTTTAAACACAGCCCCAAATCTGTGCACCAGATTTGATTTATAATCTGCTTTTATTATAAAATTTTAATTTTATTATATATATTCATACTAGATATATATATACTCATATATACTCTTCATACTAGAGTTTCGATCTTCATCCGATGTTCAGTTCAGCCAGTTCAATTTTGTAACCTTTAGCTTGATTTTAATTTACTTTATGTTTACGTGCTCTTTCTCTGGAGCATCTGCTGTGTAACTGTCCGTCTGTCTCGAGAGCTCGACAAAAATACTTGGGGGCTGTCAGTTTTACCAGACTGGAGCACACACTTGCGATTTCTGTTGAAATCCTAATAAAATTCGCTAATAACACGCGCATCCTAAGTGTTGCATACAATCGCTAAATATAAGACTCTGTTCTGGTATCACAATGAACCTTAATGGTCAACGTGCTCTTTCCATCTTTGATTATCATGAAGAGTTATGCCCATTAATTATTAATGGACTACCATTTTTACAAAAGTATCTATGTATCTTGATGTCAAGAGCACTTGCAATACTTCTATTATATATGTTAGTTATGATAAAAAAAAGTATATTATTTTCTTAATTCTTTACTGAATACTTCCATTCCATAATTTTAAAAGTATTTTGCAAAAACTTACTTATCAAATACTTATCAATCGTCTATCTGTTTCCCCACTATTTCTCAAGTACATTAAGTATCTCGAATGTGAAATGAATAGAATTTTTTTCTTTCAAATGCATTTGTGGAGCAGAAACTTATTCAAGTGTTCTTGAAATCACGTTTAGGCACTTAAGTGTCGTAAAGCATGTAATTAACGCTTTTAATCTGAAATTAAACTTACGATTTGAATGCCAAATGGAAGCCAAACCAAAATCAATCCTCAATGTTTCCCGATTCGGTAGCTGGAGTGTTTGCTGCTTTGCATAGAAATATTTGGCAGATGAATTGTCAATCATTTCGTATGCAAATCAGATTTTATTTTTAAATCTAAAATGTATCTTTTGCTGCAGATTAAAAATAAAATTTTTATTTATTGTTTTCTTTTTATAATTTTAATTAATTATTGACTATTAGGTCTGATTTGTAACCTATATTCTAACTTACAATAAGTCAATTAGGTATTAATTATTTTGACCCACTCATACTCCTTACCAAATTATTTACCCTAATTTTACTCAAACAGATAAAATTATATATTAATGTTAATGAACAGAAAACTATGTGTTCTGTGAAAATTAAGGGTAATTATGTATCCTAGACTTTACGAGAAACAAGGTATATTGATCCAAATTATATCTAAAATCTGTCTTCTTCTGTAGATCTAGAAAAGATTATATTTATTTTTGTTTTGTGTTTTTTATTTTTATTGAGTTACTTTTGGATCAGATTTATAACACATATATTAATATAAAACAAGCCAATTAGGTACCTAACATCGTGCATTAATATTAATACGAGATGCAAAACTAAGGGTTAAGTTAGGTTTAAGAGTAGATATATACATTAGATTTTATAAAGACGGCCTACAGGTTTTAGAACATCTATTAATATGTTTTTCTTCCAAGTGTTTATAGTGTTTTTGTATGAAACTTAATGTTATTTATATAAAAATTAAAATATTATATACACTAGTTATATATTATACACTATATAGGCAGATAGAGGTATATAGGGAAAACAAACATAGTTTTTTAGTCAACATTTCTTTATATATATAAATAGAATAGGTGTAGTGAAAACAAATCCATTTTTCTTTGCATGAAATTGAAGGTTT